TCCTGCTGCTGGGGAAGGGGTGGGAGATGTTGCTCCAGACCTCTGGAAAGCTAAGGAGGGAGCAAGGGCTGGGGGGGGGAGGGGGGTGGACATACTTGCGTTCTCAAGGCCCACGGGGGCTGCAGCCTAGGGGAGGGGAGGGAGTCAGGCAAGCCCTTGGGGTCGGGGCACAGAGGAAAATAGAGATAACAGACAGAGAGAAACTGATACACAAGGGGGGGCGGCGGCAAAAACACCCCACCCAGGGAGAAAAGGAAAAAACAGCCTGAAGAAGTCTTATGTACAATAAAGGAAAGCCATAGATGACTAAAACCTTCATTTTCGTTTCAAACAAATTCACTGAAATTATGAGAGAAGGAAGAGGGTGGGGTGAGAGAAAACAAGAGGAAAAAAAGACACAAAGTCTAAAGGAAGAGACATAGTTTGAAATGCGGGGAAGAAGGGGAAGACGAGAGACAGAAAGACACAGAGAGAAAAGGCTAGAAGGGGCGGTGAGGAGGCCGGCGTCCGCCGCCGAGAGAGGCCCTCGCCGACTTCGCGCGGCTTCATCGATCGCCTACAAATTGCTTCTGGAGGCCCCGGGGACTCCCATTAGGTCTGTCCACCTTAGAGACAGACGTTTGATCTCAGTTGACGGGGTGGAGGGGAGGCATTAAATGGAATAAGTGAGTCATCGCCTCCCTGGACCGCCTCAGAGGAAGCCGGCCGGTCCGGCGGGAATCCCGGCAGGGCACAGGGCTCGGCACAGGAGGTCAGAAGACTGGGAGAGGTTCGCAGAGGGAAGGGGGAGAAGAGAGGTCTGTCAGGGCAGCTCATATCCACTGGCCCTTGCCTCTGCCCTGGACTGGTGGGGAGGGTGAGGCCCCTCAGGCTTGGGAAGGCTCCTGGTCTTCCTGGGGTCTGGGGAGAGGCGAAATGCCATCCTAGCCCTGGCTGCGCCTTCCAGGCTGGTGAGGGTGTGGGCCCTGCCTGGAGCCGGGGAGCCCCAGCTGCTTGGGCCTAGCGGATTTCCCCACAGCTCCCCCAGGATACCCCCCAATCTACTTTTGGGGCTTCCAGTCTTTGTGGAGTCAGGACCCTCAAGATAAGGGAATGCATTCAAGGGGCCCAAGCGGAAACTGGGGGCCGCGAAGGGGAGCAGTGCTCGCACGTTCAGGCTGTCTCCCGGGAGCGCACCCGAAGCGTCGGTAACGGCTTGTCCCCGGTGCAGGCGGCAGACCGCGGAGGAGCGTGAGGCCGAGAGGCAGCAGGCGAACCGCATCCTCCTGCAGCTGCAGCAAGAGGCCTTCCAGAAGAGCCTGGCGCAGCCGCTGCCCGCCGACCCGCTCTGCGTGCACAACTCCTCGCTCTTCGCCCTGCAGAACCTGCAGCCGTGGTCTGACGACTCGACCAAGATCACCAGCGTCACGTCCGTGGCGTCGGCCTGCGAGTGAGCCTGCCTGCTCCGCCCCGTGAGACCCGGCCCCAGCCAAGGGTCGCGAGGCCTGAGAGCCGCGACTCTTGCCGCCTTCCTGCCGAAGACTGCACGCAGCAGGGGAACGCCGTGCCCCTCCGCACCGGCCCGCGCTCTCGTGCCGACGCTGTTCTCTTTTTGGTGGGAAAGAAGAGAAGACCGCGCAAGAAAGGAACGCGCGGCCGCCTCCCAGATGCCTATGTGGTCCGGCGCCTGCTGGAACTGTTCGGAGTCCTCCGTTTGCGTCTCTTTTATTTTATTCTGATTTTTAACGTGGGACTGAGAGAGGCAGGAAAGGTGGAGGAAGAAGAGCTTCTGGGAACCCTAGAGGACAGCATGAGCTGTCATTTGAACTTGCCCTGGGGAGAGCACTCTGTTTTCCACTCCGCATCATACACGGACACCCACAGGCCCTCACAGAGGTGACTTCACTGTCCCTCCTGGCGTCACCCCACAGTCACACACAGGGGACCTATGGCAGAGTGTTATGCACACACAGGGCCATAGCCTTCACACTCTTGACCCTTACTATCAGGGGTGACCCAGATTCATTCTGAACAGCATGGCACTTCTCACAAACACAAGGCCACGGTCACAGTGTGACACATCGTCACACACACAGCAGCCACAACAGTGTCACTTGGCCTGCCAGACCCCCATCACATAGCCTAGCCACACCCAGGTATGCACAGACAGGTTTCCACACAAACTCAGCCTATTTCTCCAGATCCTGTTCGTAGGGGGCGTTTAAGTTATGCACTTATAAGGTGTTTTCTGTGTAACCTTTTTATAAAGTGCTTGTGTAATTTATGTGAAAAAATAATAAAACCCTCCGGGTCCGGAGTCAAGGCTGCCTGCTCCTTGCTGAGCCCAGCACCTTGCAGCTACCTGGGTTTGGTGTGAGCTGGTACAGCCAGGGCAACCCTTGGTACCTAAATTTGAGGGACATCTGGGGACCAGGACCTACAGGCTCTGGAGAGAGGAAAGAAGGAGGGGAAGAAATGTAGAGAAGGCAGTGCTGAGGAAAGTTGGGAGAGCCAGTGCTAGAGATTTGTCTTTGAGTGTGAGAGTTATGCGTGTGCATTGTGTGTTTGTGATGGGTGTGGGCAATCAGGATTTCACTGATAATGAACGTTTGTAAGTGTTCAATTGTGTAATTTTGTTTGCAGTTGTGTGTGCTTATTCTGCTTAAGTTGCAAATCGAAACTACCATTATACATACGAATTGTAGTGGTGTCTGTGTGACCATGTATGAATGTGGCTTTTTGGATGGTTGTGTAATCACCCACCAGTGTCTGTGATTGTGAACGAATCATGTGGTAATGTTTGTGAAAGTACATATTAGTTTCTCATTGTGAATCTATTCTTGTGTTAAATGTGTGAGTGTTTGTGATTGTGTATCATCTATAATTGTATGAATGCAATCATGTGTGAGATGTGTTTTACTGTATATATTTGTGTGGGACCGTATACAATTGGGGGAGTGAATTAATGGGGAGTGTAGATCATTGTGGGTGACTCCCTGCAGGTGAGTGTGTGTGGTGTTGTGTGAGTGGGTGTAATTGTGCACTGCTGGTGTACATGGTGGTGGGGGTCTAAGGTGGGGTGTGCAGATACATTGTGGGGGTATCAGCATCAGCTTGGAGTTTGGGGGTTCCAGGCTGTTACCCAGCAAGCTGCAGAGACTGGGGCATGCTGTCAGTAATCGGGTCAGGATCCTCTGTGGTGCTCAAAACAAGATTTCCCAGCTTCCAGCACTAGCCTGGCCTAGGAGGGAATCTGAAAAACAGACTTCCCAGGGACCTTCAGGGAGGCCCCAGACCACTTTAGCAGGGACAGCAGCCACAGTACACAACCCTCCCCATAACATTTAGTCCCCTGCCTACTAGACCAATCTCAGGATGCACAAAACTGACTTGAGCCTGCTTTTCTGGAAGAGGCTAGGTGGTGAAGGCTTTGGGGAACATGCCATCCTTGTATAGTAGGGTGGGGGCATAGAGGGCTCTTTCTTTGGGATGGGAGAGTGAGAGAACTTTGTGGCTAAAGCTAGAAGAGAGTGGGGTGTGGGGTTTGTTCGTGTGTGCAGAGCTGTGTGTGCCCACACTGGGGTGGAGTGGAGGAGAGTTATGGAAACCATTAGAGCCCTCATCCTCCCCAGACTGCCATCCTGGATCTGCCGTATGATATGGGGGCGAAGCACAGCAACCTCCAAGCCAAGGAGATCCAAGGGGAAATTTGGCTGAGTGGGCAAAGGGCAGTGTTTGTCCACCTCTCATCTGTGGCCCCCTTGGAGTACGATCTGGGCAGAAGAGGATTCTGGGTCCAAAGGACTTCCGGGGTGGAGGGGCTACCCCACCCCCAGGCCCACCCGGTGACCAGGCCAGGCCCTGATGGCGTGTTGGTTGTGGGGAGAAAGTTCTGGCCTCAACGTCAAGTCTGCAGTGGGTCTCCCGCCGGCACTGGCTGCCGCATCCAGTACCGGGCCAAGCGAAATCCGGAAATGGCTTTCTGGAACCGCAGAATTCGGCTCCTTCTGCCTGGGCAGGTCTGGCTGTTCTTCCCCTCCCGCCGCCAGGACTGGAGCTGCCCAGCCCGAACCTTCTTGGTTCGGTGAGGTATCTCTCCTTCATTTGCGTCTTTAAGAGGCACCTTCAGTGCCTACCCGTTGCAGTATTCCAGAGTTGCCGACCCCAGAGGAGTCTGGGGTCTTCCTCCCACCTCCCAATCCCTGGGACCCCTCAAGAGGCTGGGCGCCCGAAGTCTCCTGGATATTTTCTGGCCGCAGACTGTCCAGCTGAGGAGCTGAGGCAGGAATGGGGAGTGGCTGCCCGGCCCAAACTCAATCCCCAAATCGGCTCCGAAGCCCGACTCTTCACCACCACCCCTTCACCCCTCCTCTTGCAAGACAAATGCAAGCAAAATTAGGCAGAACACACTTTCTACCTGCCCCGATCTTCACAAACAGCTGGGGTCACACTCAAAAGCGCGCGGGCCTAGGCCCCGCAGCCCCGCTGCTCTCGGACCCTGTCCAGCTTGTCGGGGACTCACGGGGGACGGGGCTTCCGCACGCCAGGATCCCGGGCGCCCATCGCGGGAGGCCACCCGACTCCCCGTCCCCACTCGCGGCTCCCGCGCGCCTGCTCCCGGCACTCGCTGGCGGCCCGGGTCGCACACTCTCCAGGGGCCACTCCCAAGCGCCCAGGCCCCGGGGCGAGGCGTCGCAGTGGGTGGGGGCAGACTCTCCGGGGCGCTGGGGCCCTCGGCGCTGAGGGACGGCGTGCAACTCCCCTCTCTCCGCCGGAAATTCGTTGGGGTGGAATCTCGCCGAATCCCGCGTCGGCCGAGGGCCGCGTTTAGGACAGGGCTGGAGGGCGGCGGGGTCCGTACACCCCGTCCCGAGAAGACGCAGGCTGGAAGGGAGTGGGCTGCCAGGGTCAACTACCCGCAGCAGAAAGCTCACAACTCTGGGTCTGCCACCGCCCCTGCCGGAAATGGTCGGTCTCTGTTCAAAAATAGAAGAGGAACAAATTATCCGAATAATGGTGTGTAGGGGTGCGGAAAGAAAAGAGGAATTAACGAACCTGCCTTTCTGCCCACTTCCTTCCTTGGTTGAGTGAGATGATTGCACTGACCAAATTCCCCGGTGAGTGAGGCCCCCATCACCCGCTAAGACCTGGCGCGGCCCAGAGCGGTGGCTGACAGAGTGGTGGCCTTCGGGGGCCCAGAAACCCATGCAGGGCTGGGGTCCTAGCAGTCTCCGTACTGTGCCGCGTGGCACACAGAGAATCTGGCTCAACCTGTTAACTATAATAGCGGCTTTGTGTGGCCGGATCTGTGCCTGGGGGCTGTGTGGGCAGGGCTTGAGCACTGCCTGGTAAAGCCCCCACTGTGGTGGCAAGTGTGGGGTTTGCCCTGGGCCCAGGACTCAGATAGGCATCCTGTGTGTGGCGTGACTGACTTGCAGATGGGCAGGTCGGTTCCAGGTGTATGAGACAATTAATCAGGGACCTCCAGGCTGCGCAGAACTGGAGCAGCTGGGATTCAGAGGCCATGCTGGAAGGCAGAGTGGGGTGGAGCTGTGGCCCCAGAGCTGCCCTGAGGGCCCCTGAGGCCAGATGCTGGAAGAAACCCACCCCCACTCCTGCTCTGTTCCTCCTGCTCTGCTCACACTCCGCGCTCCCCCGCCACACTTCTCACTCCCTCCTCGCAGACCCTGCTCCTAAGCAGCTTCTCACTCTCCTAGGCCTTCCTGATCAGCTCAGAGTTTGGTGCCTGGTGGCCAAGTCACTGCCTGGGCAACTAAGAGAGCTGCCAGAGAGTTTCCGCATGGCTCGAACCCACTGCCCTCTGTCGGCCCAGGAAGGCCCCTAGAATCGCCCACCTGCACTCACGCCTGGATTCCTTATCCTGAGGAGTCCGATGGGAACAGGCTGAGCGATTGCGAGGGCTGGAGCCAGTTTGGATTTTCCAAGGAGCTCAAAGTGGACTCGGAAGATGTTGCGTGAGATTGGGGGTGTGTGTGTGGGGGGCGGCGGCAGTGGTGAATGGAGGAAGCGATGAGTACCCATGTTGTGTTGAGGAATGGGTGCAAACTCACATCCTCTCACGCACGGCCTGCATCACTGTGGACAACCTGACATACCTCCTCCGAATGTACAACGACTGAGGTGTGTGATGTTAAACAAGGCAAGCTACAGGTGTGCCATTCGAAGTACACAGTCTCCACTTCTGGGTCCGCAGTTACCCCCAAAGCTCCCATGGGTGGTTACCACGCGGCCACCCTGCCAAGGGCTCTCCTCCTCTCCTTCTCTCATCTCTCCTCCTCCAGCTTGGGAGGAGAGACTGCCGGTCGGCGTGGGGATGGAGATTGCTGAAGCAATCTTTGGTTTTGGTTTCTAGCCATGTAGCTCCAGCGGGCGACAAGACCCCATGGGCTGATGATGGGCTTGGGGGCAGCAGGCCGCCCTGGATTCTGGCCGA